AAATGCCTAAACGACTCGAAGTGCATTTCTAAGAGTCCTAAACTTAAAGAAATGCTATAATCAACTCCCTAGACTCACACGACACGCAAAATGAGACAAAAAATAAATAAATACAAAAAATTCCAAAAAATTCGGAACGTCATGTCACGATATCACCTCTAAAATTTTACCAATGTGATGCAATAGACATGCACTCCAACGTGTCATGAAGACATTTTCACAAAAGTAAGCAATAATTTTTTTTATATCCATCTTTTTTAAGTTGCTCCGAGTCTAAAAAAAAATATTGGTTTTTTTTTTTAAAAAAAAAAAAAAAATTCCATTTCATGAAAAGGTATGAAATGTTTTAATCTTCGGGACATATATTCTTCCAAATTACACATATATATATTTTTGTTAAAAACAAAATACACTGGCTTCCTTCTCACAAAAATACCAAAAAAGCTAGTCCTACACAAAAATAATAATAATACAAAATAAGTGAACCAATAACAACCTGATAATTTTGAATTGTTTAGATTTTGTAACAGGATGAAGCTAATAATGGTTGTAGTGTCTGCTCATTGTTTAATAAAACTTGGAAAAAAAAAAAAAGAAAAAAAAGGAGGCTTCTGAAACTAGTACAGTACTAAAAAGACATTTTTTTCTATTGTTTATAGGCATGTCAACAGGGATATAAAATTAGCTTAAAAAGGAAAAGGGGAATCACATTATTTTTTTTTTTTTTTTCTCCTGGCAATAGAATGCCCTACGGCATCTACAAGCACTGAACAACAAAACAACCAACAAAAAGAACAAACAACCAAAGGAACAAAAGAACCACAGCCCTGCAAAAAGTACACAAGCAACAGATCAATTAGGCGTGTCATCCCTAGGTTGAACATCACCAATCAAAAGAGCCAGCTGCGTAGCAAAAGATTGCGACGGAGATGATTCCGAGTTAACTGAATTGCCAGTCTGAGCACTAAGAGGAATGTTACCCGCAGCATTAAAAGAAAACTGATCCGTGACCAAAAAGGCCGTAAAAGGAGCCATTGAGACCTTAGGTTTCTTCCTATCAATCAAAGGTGATCCCTGACCCGACATAAGATTAAGAGGTCGACACTTACGACTATTTCGCGCAGGAAAGGAGCCTTATCTTTGAGATGATGCCGACGAATCAGAAGAACGACCTTTATGAGGTACCGCCAGACCTTTACCTTTCCTACCACCTTTAGAAAGTTGGTTTCATCGAGACAAAGGCAACACCAGCCCTTGGCCCTGAGAAACGGAGGGCACACACTGAACTGGCTCCTCAATATGGGCCGAAGCAACAAAACTCTGAAAGGGGGAACCATGAACTTCATGATTGGCCGAACCATAGACGCTCGCCCCTACCGGAACACCGTCACCAGAAGGACCAGCACTTGCAACCTCATTAACACCTAAATGAGACCCTACAAGTGAAGGCTTAGAACATGCACCATGAGCAACACCAACCGATCCCAAAACCGCCACCCCAACGGTTGACAACTCCCCTTCCACAACAGGAACAGTAGCAGAAGGAGCTGGACTTTGAGGCTCAGTCAAAGTGAGGTCGCCTACAACCCCGTCGGAATCATCACCTCCACATAGAGCCAATTCTTTCCAGAACTCACAGCTAAAGAGTTATTTCGATCACCACCAGGATTCCAAATATCCTTCCCCAAGTAACCCTCCACTCCTAACCAAGGACCATACTCCAACAACTCTATAAAGGGCCGAGAAACACCAATCGAACAAGCCTTCCAGTTATACCCAATAATACCACAAGCAAAACACAAGGACGGGAGCTTTTCATAGCGCACTTGAATCTAAAACTCCGTATCCAAAGGACCTAACAACCACACATTCCAACGAAGCAGTTGAGATATATCCAACTCCACTTTGAGACGGATCACCCTACTATCAACCAGTAATGTCTCCTTGTTCTCCATCACACCTTTGTCACGCTATTCCACCTTCAAACAGCGTCCCAAAAAGTCAACAATGTGCCGCCCAACCTTTTCAGAGAGATAATTAGCTGGAACATCACAAAGTTGTAGCTAAAATGGGGAAATCCGAAACACCGACTCAGAAAAGAGAAGACCATCCTTCTACTCTTTGAGAACCAACAGATGCCCATTAAACAACCTTGGACAGCTAGAAAAGATCCGGAGATGAACCGAACTATCCGGAATAACCAGTTGAAACAAGTTCCCGGCAATCTTATAGACAATGAGACGTAAGGACATAACTTCAGACTGTTTTTCCTTTGGCCACAGCTTGTGAAACATTCGGCTAAACGTATACTTAGCACGAGCTAAAGTAATAGACTTTGAAGCCCAAACTTTGCCAAACAGACTATTACGGCACATATTCACCCTTTGAGCTGCATCCTTAGCTGATAAATGAACAGGCTGCTTCTCCGCCGACGGAAGTATTAACCCATTCAATTGAACAATCAACGAAGATGCCATCAACCCAAGACAAACAGAAGAAAAAACAAGACAACACAAGGAGACCTGAAGCTGCCACCGACTTTGGAAAGTAAAAAACAGGAAACCCAAAAAGAAACACAGCAGGCTAGAGAAGATAACCCTAAAGAGGAACATACGAGAAATGTATAGAAACTAGTCAACCTGTGGACTCCAAGGAAAAGAACCCAACCATAAATAAGAAGAAGTACTATAGGAAAAACAACTGCAAATAAACGTGGGTGAAAATAACTCACAAAAGTGAAAAAAAAAAAAAGCTGACAGAGATCCACATGAATTATTAGACGAAGAAACAGATTGATATATGATGACTGCAAGGGCAAGAATTCACCCACGTGGCAACAAAACTAGCCAAGCACACATAAACAAAAAGAAAGCATTAAACGCACCTTTAGAGTCTGACCAAAGCCCACGTGAGCAAGCCCCATAAAAAATTGACCAAACTGGGCCCACCAGAAATTAGCCCAACCACACAATACATGCCAAATCCAAAGCCACACCAACCAAGAACACCCCTACCATCGGAGACGACGACGAGCTCCAACCAACCGCCAACAAACAATAAAGGCAAAACCAAGCACCAAACAGCATCGCCGAGAAACCAGCCAAACAAAAACAAATACCAGAGGCAAAATCATCACAAGGATAATATACCACCAAGACCACAAAAAGAAGACCTCATGACCAAAGCGAATGCGGAAGCGCGAAAAGCCTTGAAGAAACATCACACCCAAACCACAACACTAACAAAGAATAGCAAAATCAGGAACCAGAAAGATAGAAAAACATACTCTAATCAGACAGAGAACTCAGCCAAACTGAGAACTCTCATGAGAGAGATAAAAGAACTCTCGGAATCACACTATTTATGTTTGTGTTGATCTCGTGGTCCCACTAATAAGATGATTTTCTATTTCTTTTTAAAATATAAATAAATTCATGACAATTGTTTTGGAAAAGAAATACATTTTATATCTACTAATATCATAATATAAAGATATTATTTAAACTTTTTTTTTAATCTATTTATATGTCTAAACAATTTTTTAAAAAAACTTTAAGAATTTGTAAAATAAGGATTCGAATTTTTTGAAATTCCAGTTAACTCTTTTCTATTAATTTATTATTATTATTATTTGGTACCAACATTGTTATAAAAAAAAATAAAAAAAATCCTAATATCAGTGTGCACTGGTTTCGGAGTTTGGAAAAATTTTGTTTTCTTTAATTTGCATTTTATTTTTATTTTTTATTTTTATCTTTAATTTTCTTTTATACTTTTATTTTTATTTTATATTTTTATCTTTACTTGTCCATTGACGGTGTCTTCCAATAGTGTCATTTTCGGTCATTTTATAAAATTATTTACTTTAATATATTTTATAAAATGGTTCAGTAATGATAATTTAGTCAACTTAGAGTTTAAATTTGTCAGAATGACCTATTTGCACCAGATTGAAACTTTAGAGATGCTTTTTGCATAGGAGTGTCTTTAGACATTCTCCAATAATGTCTTTTTAGGTCATTTTACAAAATTATTTATATTTATATATTTTATAAAATGGTTCAATAAGGGAAATTTAGTCAATTTAGGATTTAAATTTGTTTGAGGGACCTATTTACATAAAATTGAAACTTTAGGAGTGTTTTTTGAGAGGTGTGATATGCACTGTAAGCATACTTTAGGGGTGTTTCCTGCGCTTTAAATTTTAAAAAATTTCTCAATTATAATAAATGCATGAACTCAAGTAAAAGCGTCTGTATGATTGATTCTTTTTTTTTTTTTTTTTTTTTTCTTTCCTACAAATTATACTCATCTCTCTTAAATTTCTATCAGACGACTCAGTAGAGTGATATATTTTTACCTTTTTGCCCTCAAATATTATTATATTACTTTTAATTGAAAGTGAAATTAAAGTCACAATACAAGGAGAAATCTTGTAATTTAGTTTTTTTAACATAAACAGATTTTCTCCTTTGACCTTATTGACCATAAACATAGGAAATACTATATTACAAAGCTATCTCAAGAGTCTCGAGAGTTATTTCGCAATGCTATACTTCTAATTTATCATTTTAGCAGATAATTTTTCAAAAATAAAAAACTAACCACATAACCAAATTGGATAAATGAAAAAAAAAATAAGAAAAAAAAAATGACCAAACATATTAGTTAATCATTTGACACTTAACAAGAATATATTTATTGATTATTTTTCTTTATGTCTTGTTTAATTGATAGCCCTGCAACAGTAGCATTAATTTTGATTTTAACAACAATATAAGTTAAAATAATAATAAGTAATGAAAAATAAAAATTAGTAATAAGTTGGGTTAAAAGAAAACTAATTTCAGAAATAGTAATTATCTGAAAAAAACAAAAACCGTTGACAATGATTTTTAACCCGCCGCCAGGTAAGAGATCTACATCGCGTAAGGTTAGCACAAATAACTGCACAATCGCCAATTAGAAAACCCCACGTGGCCTTGTGTGTTCTGATTCGTTCCTGCACTCTTACGATTCCCCAACAAAAGCATTTCCAGCCCCCTGTTTCTCTCTCTTCTTTCTCTCTCTTGATTCTTCTTCAGCTTCAATTCATTCCTGCACTCTTACAATTCTCTCTTGATTCTTCTTCAGCTTCAATTGATCCACCTGAGAGATATAGATAACACTTTACACAGCACATAGGGGATAGATAGGAGTATCCAAAAATGGGAAACGCCCTCAGGTTTTTGTGTGCCCAATGTACGGAACCATCTGCAGACTCTGGATCTCTCGGGCCCCATGGCGTGTCGGCCACCACCGTCGGTGTTTCGGCCCTTGCCCAAGATATCTTTCACTTTGATATCACCTCCCAGGTGGGTGGGTGTGTGTGTGTGTGTGTGTGTTTCATCAGCGTTACAGCTTCAATTCAAGCCTTGTTTAACGATTTTAATTTTTAATGCTTAACAGTTTGTTATCCCCAATTTGGGTCATAAGTTTAGGAGCTAATTTTGGAATTTTGGTATCATTGATTTCATACCCATCTGCTAAAAAAATCCCAATTTTTCCATTTCAAGGTGCCAGAAGGACTAAGCAAACATGTTGTCTCATCCAAGAAAGCTCAGGCTAACTGGTAATTTTCTTCTTCTTTCTTTTTTTCTTTTTTTTTCCTCTAGTATTCTTGAAACAATATTATGATTGTGAAGTGAATATGTGTTCTTGGATTAAATTATTGAAAAATGAAGGAAACTATAAACTAAATTTGTTTAGTAATTGGGGCATTGGTGCAATGGAAATGTTTGATCCATTGTGAACGGGAGGTCAGGGGGTCGAATCCGAAAACAGCCTCTCCATACGGAGGTACTCATATAGTGGGAGTCTTGTGCACTGCTGTAGCCCTTTAGTAATTGGGGCATTTTTATTAACTATAATTGAATTATGTCTCTTGCTTGATTCCCCTTTCTTTTTCCTACTTTGAATTGTCTGAATTTCAACCATAAATGAAGGTATAAGAAACTTTTAGATGCATGGAGAGAAGCAAAACCTCCACCAAGAACACCTGAAGAAGCTTCAAGGCTAGTCATTAAGACCCTAAAAAGACATCTTAAGGCAGATGTGGAGGTATGAGTTATAAACCTTGTCACAACGAGTTGGTTGAATATAGAAGTACTACAAACACCAAAAGGGTAAGAAATCTAAGTACTGCATTTCAACTGTGGTTGCTTGTATTCCATAGGGTCTCTTGGCTTTTTATGGTCTTCCTCTCCCTCAAACTCTGGTTGAACTTTCTTCTGAGGTGCCCACTTCACTCCCCGAAGGACTCAAATTCGAATTGCAGACACTTCCAGTGAGAACAACCTTCTTTATCAACTCATCATCCCCAAATTCTCACGCGCACACATACATATTATGTTTGTATTTTGGTAAGATGAAGTATTTCACTGTAATCAGGTGGATGCAAAAGCTGTAGCTGATGGGGATACTGTAACTGTGTATGTTAGTACCACAGATCCGAGGGAGTCGTCATATGTTCCTAACGATGTACAAGTCGCGGCTGTTCAAAGATCAAAAGCGCGTGCTGAGAGGAATTATACAAAGGCAGATGCATTGCATGAGAAAATTGTTGATGCTGGATATCGGTTGGTCATCAGAATGCTCTTATTACATGAATTCTCATTAGCATTTCCTTTTTTCTTACCGTTCTTTCTTCATAGGGTACTCAAAATTCAAAACGAGGAGGTCTTAGCTCGAAAGTATAGGATTCGATTAAGGTATAGTCTAGCATTTTCTTACAGTGATACTACTTTCAACTTGTTTCTTGGTACAATGTGGGGGGTTGATGGCTTTCTGAACAAAACAGGGGAATAGATGCACCAGAGAGTAAAATGCCATATGGGAAAGAGGCAAAGGAGGAGCTAACTAATCTTGTTCAGGGAAAGTGTTTGAGAATCCTTGTTTTTGCAGAGGATCGCTATGGTCGCTGCGTGGGGGACATATATTGCAATGGCATATTTGTACAGGTACTGATTATGATGTTCTTCTACGCTTTCAATATGCCCTAATCAGAATGAGTCTTCGCAACCCAATGAGTATTCATTCTAATGTCACACACAGGAACTGATGCTGAAGAAAGGTTTTGCATGGCACTACACAGCCTATGACCGACGATCAGAACTGGAAAAGGTAATGCCTATATATGTTCATTCTTGTGCCTAGATTAAGACCATCTTTTTCTAAACGGCAATCTGAATCATGTCAGTGGGAGAAAGAGGCTCGAGCAAAGAGGGTTGGCTTGTGGGCAGCATCAAACCCTGAGAAACCATGGGACTGGAGAAAGGACCGGCGTGAAGGAAGATGATCTTGTTCTAATGGAAGAAATCACTTTGTCAAGTGATTTGCGTCCAGTTTGCCATGAACCGGTATTGGGAAACATATTCGAAACCAGTGTCATTCATGGTAAAGAAGGCTCACATCAATGATAAATGCAGGCTAGCAAAACAGAAGGATACAAAAACTAAGTAATAAGAGTTCTGTTCGCCTGCTAAGCCGGTCATATTTAAACTTAAATGTATTCAATCATATTCAAGGCTGTAGCAAGCTAGATGATGTATAATTTGAGGGCCGAACTGAAAGATTCATAAGCTAGTAATCATCTTGCACAACTGACAGCAATTCCAAATCTAGAACAACAAATGTAATAACCACCCTTATTTAACCACATACACATACATCTAGATTCTTTAAAGAAAATGAAGTGAAAAACATAGCGTAAACTTACCGTACAACAATATCAAGGCCAAAATGATCCCAACTATTGTAGCAACAAGAAGAATATGTTCTATTTATTCATCACATCTGTAATTGTCTCGCTAAGCATTACATTGCTGATAGGATAAAGAAATCAAGCCCATGTAAACAGAAATGGCAAGATGATTCATACAGAAAGATCAGTATAATTACAGGGGCACTTACTCTTTGGACAAGCACCAATTTTATCACCGTCCAATTTTATCACCAACAGCGAATAACTTAAGGTTACAAATTAAAGAAAAATTAAGGGAGAAACTAACTTGCAGGCGCGAGTGCTACCGAAGCCTGAGTATGGGCACTTGCCCACTCCAACAATACACTGCGGAAAGACGAGACGCTGATTAGTAGAAAATAAAAGGTTTTGTTGTTTACAAGCATTAAAGATTGCCATTTTCTATAACGAAATTGATTACAGATGTTGGGTTGCAATAAGTCAAGAACTGATTGATTGGGTCTACAAAGTTTGTGTGGTATTATGGCCTTCCCAGTGAGAAATTGGATGCCACCAAGAAAGACTAGATGTGCAATAAAGGTGCATTCTGCATTACAGCGAGCTTCTTTTCTTTTAGTTATTTGTTCTTTCTAAATATAGGTACCAATACCACAACAAATCGTGTGCTCATGAAATATTAAGTTTACAGTCTATTGTGAACTAAAAATTATTTGTGAAAGCAAAAGCCACCACATGATCTTCAAATCCACTTGGGAATCTTTACACCCAATTTAAGATAGATAACTTTTTTGTTTTTTTGATAAGTGAATTTAAGATAGATAACTATCCCATCTCATTGAGAAAGTAAGCCCATAAATGTGCAAGACATTAGTAATGCAGAACATGCTGAACACAACAGAAGCAAATTCCGAACTTCTACAGACCTTACCTGGAACAATGTACGAGTAAGGCTTTGTGTAACTTGAAAAGCCGATTTATGTTTTTTGCAAGTTAGAAGAAAGCTGATCAGATGCATTTATACTTTGTTAAGATTTAAGGGCTATTCTGTGATTTCCATATTTATAAGGCATGGGCTGTGGTTATGTGTTCTTTATCAGGTCTAAAATGCTTTTCATTGTGGATCATTTTACTAGATTGTTATGCATTCTTTATTGGGTCTAAAATACTTTTCATACTCAAAGCTTATTTCGTTATTGGCGAAGTTTCCTATTGTCAAATCCTTGTAAAAATAGGAAATTCCCAGTAGCTTATGAATATCTATACAGACTTTCTACTCAGTGAAGAGCTGAGTTTTTGAAAATTCAAGTTTGTGTTGTACCAAAAAATTAATGAACAACCTCCTTATCTTCTTCACTCAGCTTTTTTTCACAGCCTTAGATAGCCTATATTTTGTTACCAGAATTCTACAGTACCAAGCCCTAATCAAATATAACCTTTTTCCCCTCCTTTTGACGACTAATCTGTGTCAAAATTGTAAAATTACTTGCTCTCCAAAGAGTAAACACAAAACACTTCCTTTCTATATATATATTTTTTTACTCTGAATTTCCTGCAACCTACCGGTTTGAAACCAAGCCAATTCTTTTTCTTTTTCTTTTTTTCTTTATTTATACACCCTATAACATTTTTCTACTTATTAGAAGTTTAGAACCAAAATATCTACAAGTGTTTTATTCATCTAATCCTTCAATAAAATCAACTATAGGAAGCACAACTGAGAAGTGTCTCAGATATTCATTGGCATTATCAAGAATATAAAATTGTTAAACGAAGCAAAATACATAGCCGACATGACAAATCAAGAGAAGACTCAAGGAAGCAAAACATTGGTTCTATGTCCAGGTGCCCAGGGTTTTAGTGACTTAGTGCAGTACTTTGCATAAGGGATTGAATGCCATTAAATTTCAAGACACTAGTCATACTGACAACTATAAATAGAAGTAATACTTTTCTTGCAGGATAGCTTTAACATGTACAAACCTAGCACTGAAAATTTAGGTCTTCACCAGTTTCTATAAGTACCAAAGACAGTGCTTTTGAAATAACTGTTCCAAAAATTTGAAAAACCAAAGAAAAGATTTGGTTAATGACATTCACTTGGGCCTAAAAAACTGTAACATCAGTCGAGGCACTTCCCGTCTTGCTTCTCCATCCAATTTTTGGCCTGTAAATGTTCCAATTGAATGGAAAACATATCAAGTTCCTAAACTACAAGGGGTTTATCCTCAGAAGCACCTTACTGATCAAGAAGTTTATAGGGTTTGAAAATCAAGAGAGAACAATTTTGAGTTGAGCATTACAAACCTCACAGTCACGAAAGAGATACTTAAGGGGCTCACACAACTCAATCTTTCTGCCCAAAGCAAATTTGAATGTGGATGATACAGTATTGGATTTTAATTACAAGCGTTCGAGCTCTCTTTGAAGTTTGAAGCACTTTTTTCTGTTCTTTTTTTTTTTTTACTTTTCTTTGTGTGTGTTGGGAATTTAAAATCTTTGAAGCACTTTCTTATCGAAGGAAGATGTGAGTTTGAAGATCAGAAGTCATAGCCAGAAGATAAGTTCTCCAGGTTACCTAATTTTGTTTACATCGTGAAATAAGAAGGCAGAACAAAAATACAAACACGTCCTACAAATTAAGAATTGGTGAGTGCATCCAATATATAATGTATACATCACAATACATACTCACATCCCAAATTAATGCAATACCTTGTCAAATAAAAGAAAATCAGGTAAATAATTGAAAGTATAACAAAACAATAAAAATGGGAGAGGATTCAACTCACTTTGTCATTGTTAATTCTACAAGAACGAACATTTAATCCTACTTGGCATCATTCTTCACATCATCTGAATCGGAATCACTAGCATTGTAACCTAAATGAAAAAAATGCAATTAAAACCAATAACAAGAAGCAAGAAGCAGAGCCACTATATGTATGTGTGTGTACACAAATATGTGTGGAGAGAAAGGGCTAACCTGGATGTTTATCACTAACTTTCCACACAGAAGATCGACTCTTTGAAGCTTTACTAATCCAAGCTCGTCCCTAAATTCAAAAGGCAACTGAAATTGTTATATTCACCACAATATACTTTCACAGCAAAGAAAATAATACAAAGTCATAGCTCAAAGTGGCATACCAGTTTTTAACAGACAATAAAGAAAAAATAAGATAAACCCCAAAATCTTAAAGTTCCCAATGAGCTCAAAAAAAGAAAGAAAAGGAACGAGTCCTGATAGGGAAACAAGTGCCTCTCAATAAAATTGTCCTCTAAGTCTAACCATGATCACACATTAAACCCAAGAAAATAAACAAGAAAAGCAAAGGAAACCCAAGAATGATAAAGTCAAACTGTGTATCTCTAGGTACACCATAGCAGTGGCATATCAGTTCTTAACAGACATTAAATAAACCCCAATATCCAAAAAGTTCCCATTGAGTTCAATAACATCCCAAAAAAAAAAAAAACAACAACAACAAAGTCCAACCTTGATATGAAAATAAGTGACACTCAATAAACATGATCACAGATTAAACCCAAAAAAATAAACAAAGAAACCCCAAGAATGAAAAAAAATCAAACACCTTCTGGGTGTCTCTAGGGATACCATAGCCACTGTAATACATCTGACCCACCAAGACCTGCATGGCGCTGTCACCGGCTTTGGCCTCCTTGAGGGTGTCCTGAAACCACCGCTTGACGCAGTCGGAGACCACCTCCGCCAGCGGCACGCGGGTCTTCTCCGAGGTCTCCTCCATCTTCACCCTGGGCTGCACGAATCGGGTTGTGGACGCGGCGGGTTTGACGGATTTGGGACCCTGGAGCTGCTTGTCCAAGAAGACAATCCTGGGAAAATCTTGGAGAGTGAGTGCAGAGGGAAGTGATTTTCCCATACAACAAACAAATGGAAAGAAAATGTGTACTAGTGATATTGTGGCTGGGGTGATTGCGAGAAAGAAAGAGACGGAAAAGTAAATGGATTTCTTTCTTTTTCCTTCGGAATGGCTTCGTGCGTTTTTTTTTTCTTTTCAGTGGGGGTGGGCCCTCCCCTTATCCGGTTTTCAAACAAAAAAATACAAAGAAGGAGCCAGTTTGGGGCAAAAGTGGGAAACCCTTTAACTTATCCATCAAATGCAACACAACACCAACAAATATCTCCAAAAACACACACATCATCAAAGCCACTGCCAGAATAACAAACAGTATCATTCTTGTGCAGCCACTGCCACTCCTGTTTTTTTCTGTGGTTTGTGTAAATTATACAATTAACCTTTGTTGATGTTTAAGAAGTAATTTTGAGTGTGAAAACTCAGTAGGGAGTAATATTTTTATTATATAAATAATATATTTTATTTTATTTTATTGGAATATATTCTAACATGTATATTGATATATTAAGAGATATATGGTTTATATAAAAGGGGTAATGTGTGATGGACAAGTAAATTCTATATGCTTATGGTAATTAAATATATTCTAACCATATATAGGATTATTTATACATAATTATATTTTATATACATGGTTAGAATATATTCTACAACTACAATATGGTAATAATATATCTTATATATGGTAATAATATATTCCACTTATATTCTACAATATATTCTAACATTACATAAGGAGATGAAAAAATTATGAGAAAAAAAAGAAAATTTAAAACTGTCATTGAACACACGCATCAATTCTCGATGGAGGTTAAAATAATAAACGTTAAACCATCTACCGTAAGTTATTTGCTCAAACCTCATACAATTCAATGTAATTTACCTTTAATTTTGTTTAGCTAACTAATCGAGAGATGGCGAATCTTAAGACAACAATAAAATTCCTTGTTGTCACTTGGAGATGACATGTTCTGAGTCAGGATAGCCTCAGGGCATGTGAACCTCCAAGTTCACTATGGGCCTATTATGGAGACACCAAGAATGGGCACTCATATATATTAATACAATTAACTTTAATTTTGAGGACAAAAAAATAAATAAAATAAAATAAAATAAAATTCACCCTCATAATATACTTCCTTTGAGAAGAAAGATATAATATTCTTACTTATTTTCACTTTAGGATGAAGAAATAAAGCACAACTAGACTTAATAAAAAAAATCCGATAAATAAGTAAATCAAATTGGTTATGAAACTCCCACAAAGATGTAAAAATCTGAATTTTTTTTTTTTTTTTTCCTTCGCAAAGAGTTAGAACAATGTTTTTGAGAAGACTTGAACTGTTTCTATTTTTTACTTTGAAATGAGAGGAGATATTGATTTAGTAGTTTTTTCCATAACAGAATGCCAAAAAAAATAGCATAAACCTATCAAAGTGAACCTCCTCACAGAGGAGGTGTTACTGCTCTATTAAATTAATTTCAGACTATACATTTTGAAACTATCCCTTCTTATAATTTAGCAAGAGAAGAAGGGTTGCTGAGAAAAATGTGATTGTGTTTACTGACTCCATAAATGTGACACAATAGGTCCTGGGGCTTCAATTATTTGAAGTGGTTCATTGATTCTTTGAATGACAACACTTTCAAATTCATGAAAAGGAAATAGTGAAATACAGTAGTAGTCAATAAAGTGGCAAAAACACTTAAGCTGTCTTGTTGTATTAGATATAGCTTTCATTGTTCATGTACTAGTTGTCTAACAGACGGGGACTGACTACATATATGTAGCCCCACCTCCCCCTCTTCTCTGTGTGTCTGACTCTGTGTGTGTGTGTGTGTGTGTGTTGGTTGCTGATTGAGGGAGAATTGAAGACAAGACATAGACTGTTATCATGTGATTATGGGACTCTTTTCTTGCTTTAAAGAATATAAATGAAGTATGTGTTGGACCTATTTTTAGTTCCAAATGCATTGTAATTTGCAATCACATGCATATAACTTTTCATATTGTTTATGAAAGTAACCATAATTGACTAATTTCAGTTCCTTTATTTTGCTGCTGATTTTTTTTTTTATTTTTTTTATTTTTTATTATTATTTTTTTTTAATAGTAACTTTGTTGTGTGAGAACTTATTATTTAAGTTTGGAAAATATTACAATGAGATGCTAGCTCACTTTGAGAGTTTACTCATCATAATATATTTACTCTTTTTAAGTTTTAAGACACTGATTAAAAGTTTGAGCTAATTGCTGCTGAATTTTTATATTTTATTTTTTTTAACTTGTTACTAACTTTTGTTGCATGAAAACTTATTAATTTCTTATTGTCACTCAAACACTAAATATTTTGCTGGGCTAAAATTCTCTCCACTCCCAAAGTAAATCTAATGAAACAAAATGTGCAACATTTACCAGGTTTTATCTTTCGAATTTCACCCATTTGTAATGGTAAAATTTGATTACATCACTTACTTAACAAAAGGATTTTGTTTTACAATTCAACATTGAGACACTAATAATATTAAAATTTACCATTATATTGGTCAAATTTTATCATTATATTGGTCATAATGATAAAATTTTAATATAAACAATAGAGTAATACGAAAGGAGAATTATGTCGTAATTTGAATAGTTCATATACCAAATTAATATACTCAGGAGATAATTTTGTACTTTCTAGCGGGAAAGACTTTGAATAGTGATCTTGTTGATACTAAAGTACGGTGTAGTTAGAGGGTAATTGAAGAAAATGAAATATTATGTTGGTATAAATTATTAAAGAAAAAGAAAGGGATTTGAAATGATACAAATTAAGCATACTGTGTTAATTTTGTTATCCTTTCAAAAATAGAAAAAATAAAAAGAAATGTAAATATTTTTAATAAAATTTTGTTAATATCAAATTTACATTTATCTATTTAAAAGAAAAAATCTATTAAAAAAAAGTATGGTAATAAATTCATTAAAATAATTTTTTCTTTTCTTTTTTAAAACATAATTACTATCATTTTTTTTATATTTTATTAATCAACCAAACAAAATAAGTGCTTAATAATATCTCTCCAAATTAATATTACTTTTTTTTTTCTTTTTTTTTTTCTTCGCCGGACACAGAAGATAAAATCGTACGTTTTAGAGGGAAATTAAATTAAGAGATTGAAGAAAATTTGATAAAGCTGAAAAAATAGGTTCACGTGTATATCAAATCAAAGGTCAATTATGCAAACTGGCGGTATGGAGAAGTTATATCACACTCACTTTGGGTGGGTCGCCAACCCTCACATATTCCAGCCAATTGTCTACATCTCTTCTTATCAAAACAATGACAACTTATCTTACTTTATAAAATGTTAATTGAAACCTGAGATGTCAATAATTTTTATTTTTATCATATGATTTGAATTAGCAGTCCAAATTAACAATAAAAAGTTAATTAACCACTAGTGTGGTGACAAATTGAAGTTTAAGTTGCATTTATTTTTCATATAAAAATCTGTTATATCAGTTATCTTGGATCAAGTATGTAATCTCTATGTGCCAGCGAATTTTGACATTTTTAGTTGAAGAAATCATTTAAATGGTGTAAAATTAATATTCTTTTGTAATTTTTAATGTTTGGTGTGAATGAAAAAAAGGAAAAATCCAATTTGAATTTCTTTAGACAGTGGCTTTGAAGATTGTCAAAATCCACTTTAATATTTTTAATTTCAAAATTGATGATTCTTATCCGTAATATTATCCCTTAATTTGGATAGAAAAAACGCATGCTTTTTCATATCCAACTTAGCTTTTTTGTGGGATAAGAATCATAGTATCAAGTCGAGCTTCAATTTGTATTTGGTATGGAAAAAACCTAACTATCATATTCCTTCAATAGATGAATATGAATTGTGCATATGACACGTCATATTCAGATTTATATATATAAGAATTAAGTAAGAGAAGATTCACGAGCCAATCAAATAAAATAAGCTTTTTTATTAGACGACAAACACACCACAAAGCACGCACATCAGGAAAGAACCAATTGCCTTTCACATCCACCATATTGGTCACCCACACAAACTTGACGCACAAAAAAAAAAAACACTACAACCAAACACTCCCTTACAATAAAACGCCCAATAAACGGAAACTAGAGATATTCAGCCCATATGTAAATCACACGCTGCAACCTTGGCTCTTTTTCAAAAGTAGCTGGCGGTGGCCTTATTGTGAGAAATTCTGCCAGTAATCCAACAAGAATTGTATCGGCTTTTACTTTTTATGTGGCCAGTTCAAAGGTCGCTGAGGCTTGAGTTCTCCGTGAAGGATTGAAGTTGCTATTTCAATGGGGTTATGATAAGGTAGATATAGAAGGTGATTGCTTATCCATCATTTCTACCCATCCTCAGGACTCCCTCTCATTTCCTTTAAGGGAAGATATCCAATTCATGATGGAGAAAAATTCTCATTTTCGACTTGGGTGGAAGCCAAGGGGTAACAATTCAGTTGCTCACATTATCAGTCAATTGACAATGGCCTTTCAATCTAGTGATGTAAGTTGGGATGTTTGGCCATCCGAGGTGCTGAAGGCTATTGATCTGGATACTCTGGACCATGGGGCTTAGTGGGTTGGTTTTGTTTTTTTGTTTTCCTTTTTTGTGTTTTCTTTGTTTGTTGGGTGGCAAAAAAAAAATCACACGCTGCACTGGGTTGTACCCTTTATTCTGTACTACGATGTCACACTACGTCCGGCCGCACCTAATCACACAGATTACTTATATTGCCAGAACAACAACCGACACTGATTTTCCGACCCGACACTGATTTTCCGACCCGACCCGGAAGCCTGCTCACCCAAACGGATGTGCAGTGGAGACAGTTGATCGATGATAATGATGGATAATTGGACGGTGATGATTGGTTTGTGTTCCGGAAGCGGGTCACAGTGAGGGACGTGTTTAAGAACTCTCTGACCTGGGTAATTATCCCATCAGCGACAGGCCAGGCGTGGACCCAAGAGATTGAACGGCTGAGATCGCAGCCCTCGACGAGGACGGTTGATCCGAAATCGGCGACGGAGAGGGGCTCGAATTCGAAGGATTTTTTCGGCGAGGTAGTGCCGGTGAGCAGTCGCATCATATACTGGTGGGACAGCGGACCATGGAACCACCACTCGAGGTCGGCGGCGAGGAGCTTGTGGACGGTTTCGACGTCTAGAGCGCTTAAGGCTTCATACAGGGCGAGCACCACCCTTCGATTGTAGGATTCCTCCAGAATTTCCTCTGAATTTGCCAGTTCTTGCACAATAAACACGCCTAAGCTTTGCGTGTGTTGGGAGTTTAAAATCTTTGAAGCACCTTCTTATCGAAGGAAGACGTGAGTTTGAAGATCATAAGTCATGACTCATAGCCAGAAGATAAGTTCTCCAGGTTACCTAATTTTGTTTGCATCATGAAATAAGAAGGCAGAACAAAAATACAAACACCTCCTACAAATTAAGAATTGGTGAGTACATCACCATATATACTCATATCCCAAATTCATGCAATACCATGTCAAATAAAAGAAAATCAGGTAAATATTTGAAAGTACAACAAAAACAATAAAAATGGGAGAGGATTCGACTCACCAAGAACGAACATTTAATCCTACTTCGCATCATTCTTCACATCATCTGAATCGAAATCACTAGCATTGTAACCTAAATGAAAAAAATACAATTAATACCAATAACAAGAAGCAGAGCCACTATATGTATATGTTTGTACATAAATACAAATGGAGAGAGAGAGTTTATCACTAACTTTCCACACAGAAGATCGACTCTTTGAAGCTTTACTAATCCAAGCTCGTCCCTAAATTTAAAAGTTCCCAATGAGCTCAAAAACATTTAAAAAAACCAATAAAGTCCAAGCCTGGATAGGAAAACAAGTGCCTCTCAATAAAATTGCCCTCTCAGTTTAACCATGATCACAGATTAAACCCAAGAAAATAAACAAGAAAAACAAAGGAACCCCAAGAATTATAAAGTTGACACCTTCTGGGTATCTCTAGGGACACCATATAGACTGTAACAGTGGCATGTCAGTTCTTAAAAGACATTAAATAAACCCCAATATCCAAAAAGTTCCCATTGAGTTCAATAACATCCAAAAAAAAAAAAAAACAACAAAGTCCATACCTTGATATGAAAATAAGTGGCACTCAATAAAGTTTATTGATCACATATTAAACCCAACAAAATAAACAAAGAAACCCCAAGAATGAAAAAAATCAAACACCTTCTGGGTGTGTCTAGGGATACCATAGCCACTGCAATACATCTGACCCACCAAGACCTGCAATGCGCTGTCACCGGTTTTGGCCTCCTTGAGGATGTCCTGAAACCACCGCTTGACGCAGTCGGAGACCACCTCCGCCAGCCGCACGCGGGTCTTCTCCGAGGTCTCCTCCATCTTCACCCTGGGCTACAGGAATCGGTTTGTGGACGCGGCGGGTTTGACGGATTTGGGACCTTGGAGCTGCTTGTCCAAGGAGACAATCCTGGGAAAATCTTGGAGGGTGAGTGTAGAGGGAAGTGATTTTCCCATAAAACAAACAAATGGAAAGAAGATGTGTACTAGTTATACTGTGGCTGGTGTTACAAGTGAAACTTGTCCCACATCGGATTTGGATGGGGGTTAAAGTGTGTATAAATGGGTGGGTATGCAGTAATACCGAATAGTTCGAGTTTTTGGATAAATGGGCAAGCACCCACCCGTTATAGTTGGTATCAGAGTCAAACCCACCCGCCCCGGAGAGTGTTCCGGTCTGCCTCCGGGTAGGTAGGGTGGTCCAACCGCAACGAGAGCGTTGCCCGAGTTCGGGTGAGGGAGAATGTTACAAGTGAAACTTGTCCCACATTGGATTTGGATGTGGGTTGAAGTGTGTATAAATGGGTGGGTATGCAGTATTATCCAATAATTCGAACTTCTGAGTAAATGGGCAAGCGCCCACCCGTTACACTGGAGGTGATTGCGAGAAAGAAGGAGATGGAAAAGTAAATGGATTTCTTTCTTTTTCCTTTGGAATGGCTTTGTTTTTTTTTTTTTTTCTTTTCAGTGGGGGTGCGGCCCTCCTCTTATCTGGTTTTCGAGAAGTTATTCAGTACCCCATAGGTACCATGTCATTGTGCTGACATGGTACCTCCATCCACTACAAACACGACGTGTTAAAAATTAAAAAAAAATTCCATGTCAACACAAGTTTCACAAAATAGGGAAGGTAGCAAAAGGAGGAGTAACTCCGTCCGAAATTTCAAAATCCCTCCACTTTTTTTAACTCAAATTTCAAATTTTAAAAATCAGACTAAAGATTATATGCTCTAAAATCTTCTCTCTCATAATTCTCACCCTATTTCTCACTCTTTCTCTCTTCTGAATCTATCCATACACTGAAAATCATCCCAAGCTGTCCATCAATGGAACACCATGGCTGTGAATAGTTCATTGTTGTGGCTAACATCCATGGTCGTGACTATCACAACCTTCAAATACAACACCTTCTATTTCATCGTGGTTTCAATTCTTTGCAATCTCGTCCGTTATGACACCAATTGGTAAGTAACTCTCTCCGATGCCTTGATGACCGGCCATTTTCGATCATTGAGTACTCACAAATTCCTCACTTTTTTCCTAAAGCACCATTAGAAAGCATGGGTATTTTTGCTTGAATGTTCATGTTCACAAAGATAGAGAAACGGAGAATCCCGATCCTTGATGACCCATCTACCTTGACGGAGGAGGATGGAGGTGCAGTGTTCTCGCGTATGTGGATCGAAGTGTCCAGGCGAGATGGTGGTTTTAGGTTGACATTAATAAATTTCAGGTATTTTTGGATTCTTATCAAATGGTAGATAATCAAAGAAATATGGTGACTACCATGTTTCAGACTTTGATTCATATCCAATGCCGCCAAGACTGGCCCATAAACTTGAAGAAGATCCAATACTGCTCGAATCGGCACCAATATAAAGTAATAAACTTTATCCTTAATTGTGGTTGAGAGTAATTTGTATTGGAAACAAATTGTGCCCTCATCAGTCTGCTCCTTATCAACCATTTGTAGCAAGTCTACTTGGACTTTGTAATTTTTTATGACGTATGGGTTGCCAAATAATCCAGTTCTCATTCCATGTCTTCTCTTCAAGTGAATATTTTAACAGCAAAAGTTAAGTTTTACTAGATTGCTTCAATGTGATATTGTGGTCAATAGATGCCACATCTTAGTCTAGTATTATCTTCAATGTATTTTTTTATTTTTTGTGAGTTATGTTTTTAGGAATCCCTTACAAATTTCTGGGATGATTGGAATGCAAACATGACCAAGAAACATGACCAAATCCAGTGTTGAAAAAGCAAACTTACCTCCAAAAAAAATTCATACCAAGAAACTTTCATCACAATACAAATTCTTATTACAATAGTTTTTCTTCTATTTGAACAATAGGTTATAGGTCCTATTGCAAACCATCAAAAGTCATTCTCATTACAACCAATAAGAACACCAACAAGAATTTGACAATAGAAGTATTTAAAAAGTTTCTTTGTCTTTTGGTTAAAGGATGATGCTGTTATTCATCTCCCTATTTCCATCCTTGCAGTCTTTAATGGAGCCACCAATTCGCAATCACAAGAAGCATCCTCAATTCATAACAGAGCCTAATAAGTAAACAAAATTACCGAGTTAGTGATATCATTAATAATAAAAAAGTTAAAAACAGATAAAATGTTAATGTAGAGAATCTAATGGATCATATAGATGAACAAGATGCAAGAAGCAAAAGAAACAATAAAAACAAAATTCAAAAATTTCATTGATATTTTAAAAAAATACACCATTTTTTTGGCGTCCCTCCATTGCTACAAAGACAAGGTTGTAGCAACAACACCTCGTGGAGAAAGATGAAGCCTCCAAGTCTGCTACTGCCAGAATCAATGTATATGGCAACTATAGTGAAGTCAAAGGTGCTTTCTTTGAAGGCGGTGATAGTCACGGCCATGGGATGTCAGCCACCACAATGATCTACTCACGGCCAGGGTTCTAGTGATGAAGGACAGCTTGGGATGATTTTCAGTGTATGGATAGATTCAGGAGAGAGAAAGAGGATGAGAATTATGAAAAAGAAGCTTTTAGAGTAAATAATCTTTAGTCTGATTTTTAAAATTTGAAATTTGAGTTAAAAAAAAAGTGGAGGTATTTTGAAATTTCAAACGGAGTTACTATTCCGTTTGCTACCTTCCCTATTTTGTGAAACTTGTGCCGACTTGAAATGTTTTTTTAATTTTTAACACATGTCGTGTTTGTAGTGGATGGAGGTACCATGTCAGCACAATGACATGGTACCTATGGGGTACTGAATAACTTCTCCTGGTTTTCATACCAAAAAATACGAAGGAGGAGCCAGTTTGGGACAAAAGTGGGAAACCCTTTAACTTATCCATGAAATGCAACACAACACCAACAAATATCTCCAAAACACACACATCATCAAAGCCACTGCCGGAATAACAAACAGTGTCATTCTTGTCCAACCACTGCCACAATATCATCACTACTCTTGTTTTGAAGCACTTCAAGGTTCAATATCACTTTGGATAAATTACACTAATTTTTCTCTTGGACAAATTATACAAGTGACCTTTGCGGATGGCTAAAAAGTGGCTTTGAGGGTCAGTTTGGTTGGAGGGTTACGAAGAAAAAGAAAGGAAAAGTAAAAAGGTAGAAGTGAAATATCATGTTTGACCATGTATCATTAAACAAAAAAAAAATTAGAGAGATTTGGAAGGATTCAATTTAGGCATTTTGATTGGTTTTGTTATTCTTTCAAAAATAGGAGAAAATGAAATAAAAGGTAATAAACTTTATTATATATATACACATCTTGACTAAATTAGAGTATAATTCAAAAATAGAAATTTGACGTTTTTTAAAAAAAAAAAATTAAAGAATTTAAAGAACAAAAGAAAGATAAAGATATTTTCTCATAATATAATTTCCTTATTTATTTTCATTTTAGAATAAAAAAAATAAAGCACGACTAGACTTAATAAAAAAATCCAATAAATAAGTAAATCAAGTTGGTTATGAAACTCCCTCAAAAGATGTAAAAGCCTTAATTTCTTTTCTTTTTTTTGCAAAGAACTCGGACAATATTTTTGGGAAGACTTAAATTGTTTTTATTTTTTTACTTTAAAATGAAAGGAGATATCACTTAATAGCGATTTAGTAGTTTTTTTTCCGATAACAGAATGCCAAAAAAATTAGCATAAACCTATGAAAGTGAACCTCCTCACAGAGGAGGTGTTGCTGCTCTCCATTAAATTTCAGACTACACATTTTGAAACCGTCCCTTCTTATAATTTAGCAAGAGAAGAAGGGTTGCTTAGAAAAATGTGATGTTTTCACTGAATCCATAGATGTGACACAGTAGGTCCCTGGGCTTCAATTATATGAAGTGGTTCATTCAAACTTTCAATGACAACACTTTCAAATTCTCTAAAAGGAAATAGTGAAATACAGTAGTCAATAAAGTGGCGAAACACTTGCATGTAGTCCCCCACCGTTAGACAACTGTACATGAACAATGAAAGCTATATCTGCTACAACAAGACAGCTTATATGTAGCCCCCCCTTCCCCTCCACAGTGTGTGTGTGTTGGTTGCTGGTTGAGGAAGAATTGAAGACAAGACAGAGACGGTTATTATGTGATTATGGGACTTTTTTCTTGCTTTAAAGAATATAAAATGAAGTCTGTGTTGGACCTATTTTTAGTTCCAAATGCGTTTTAATATACAATCACATGCATATAACTTGTCATATTGTTTAGGGTAAAGTGTAATAAAACTTAACTCGCTCTTCCTAAAAACCTTCCTAAATTAGTTTTGTTATCATTAACTTCCTAAACTATTAATTTTTTTGCAAAAATTACCCATTCTTAAAATTCTGTTTGTTTTTCTCCGGTCTCCGGCCAATTAAGCGCGTGATGAACACATGCCAGTACTCTATTTTTAAAATGACAAAGCTACCCTTATACTATTAAATGTATAAAATCAAAATAAAAAAATCCCAAATTATTGAAACCCTAAAAGTCGAGACTCCCTATGCCGTTTTAGTTCTCTACCAGCCACACAACCGTCACAAACCAAACCTGTACACACACAGAAATATTGTATTAGAGCTTACTTCGGCAAAGTAACAGAGCTTATCTACCAAACCAAAGATAAAGAAAGCTTCAACAAAGCTCAACAAAATTTTCGTTTCTCACACTATAAATCAAAGAAATTTAACTTATAAGGGTTTGTAGATCACAGACACTGCTTCAATTTGTGAATCTACAATGCCTTGCAGTTGCAGAGAATCAAAACGGTGAACATCGGCGATTTGCAAGCTTAAGGTTCGAATGGGCAGGGGCAAGGCTTCAATTGCTGCGGTTGATTTGGGGATTTCACTTTTATAGCCTAAGCAACGGCGACAAAACCCTTTGCAAATTACTACGTGACTATTTCGCGTTTGCCAAGAAGAAACAGAGGACACCCAAATGGTTTACAGATAAATTGGAGGTATAGATTAAGGATTAGTGTTTACTAATTTGGCCCCAATAAAGTAAGATGGTAGCTTCGATGGATTCTTTTTTGGGTCACCGGTGCGGCGTGGGATGATGTTGATGAATTCTTTATTTTTGGTCACCGGTGTTGATGGATTCTCTCTTTTAGGTCACCGGTGTAGGGATGCGGATGGTGTTGATGGATTTTTTGTTGGTAATCACACTTAACTGTGCCCGCCAAAGGGGATAAGATTGGAATTGTTTTCGGCCATTCCAATCAAAATGAAAGTTTTTCCATTAAAACCGGTGAGAGCCCAACCTCAAACTCCATTACCGCTGACGCCGATGAGAAGCTTTAAGAATCAACAAGTAGCGAAACTGGTGAGAGCCAACCTCAAACTCCATGATCGCCTCACTGCGAGCAAACAAGTGAAGTCTCATTCCAGTGAACCACAAACAAACCTTTTTGATGAGTATCATACAGACCCAAGGCGAAACTTTTTTGGTCAACAATGTCATCGACGGTGGGAAAACTAGAGCGTAAAGAGAGCGAAAGCCTTATGTGTAAGGCCGTGTTTGGCGCGCTGAATTGAGTGGTGGTTTAGTGATAAGGATGAGGTAGATAAGGTGTGCTGTCATAATTCTATTGGATGGTTAAGATTTGTTTGACACATACTAAAGGGTAATATTGTAATCCTCTTTTTCCGGTGCTGGAGACCTCACTTGATGTCCTAAATTGCAACTTTATCATAGTTCAGAGGGCAATTGTTAATTCAAGAGAGTTTTGTGCAATTAGCTGAAAGTTCGGGGGAGTTTTATGCACTTTATCCTATTGTTTATGAAACATTACCATAATTGCCTAATTTCAGTTCCTTTATTTTGCTGCTGATTTTATTTTTTATTTTTTAATAGTAACTTTGTTGTGTGTGAACTTATTATTTAAGTTTGGAAAATATTACAATGAGATGCTAGCTCACTGTGAGAGTTTACTCATCATAATATTACTCTTTCTAAGTTTTAAGACACTGATTAAAAGTTTGAGCTAATTGCTGCTGAATTTTTATATATATATTTTTTTAAAACTTGTTACTAACTTTGTTGCATGAAAACTTATTAATTTCTTATTGTCACTCAAACACTAAATTTTGTTGGATTAAAATTCCCACCAGAGCCCCCCAAAAAAAACCCCACCAAAAAAAAAAAAAATGGTAGTGTAATACTAGCCTACTCCAAAATATATTTTTGGGTCTGCTTGTACATATACCGAATTGAATCTACTTATAATATAATTTTGTACTTTCCAACTGGAAAGACTTTGAATTTTGTTGAGACCAAGGTCCAGTGTTGTTAGAGGGTAATTGAAGGAAATGAAATATTATATTTGGTATAGATTATTAAAGAAAAAGAAAGGAAACAAAGGGATTAGGAATAATACAAATTGGACAAATTGGGTTGGTTTTGTTATCCTCTCAAATATGAAAAAAAAAATATAAAGAAAGATTAATATTTTTAATGAATCTTTGTTAATACCAAATTTATTTTTATCTTTTTAAAAGACAAAATCTATTAAAAATTGTACGGTAGTAATTTTATTAAAATAGTTTCTTTTTCTTTACTTCCCCAAAACATAATTACTATTATATTTCTCGAAAAAAAAAAATTATTAAAATTAATAAAATCTTTTCCTTTCAATTTTTGTTTTTTTTTTTTTTTTTTTTTCTCACCAAACCAATGTTATTTATTTATATTTTTATTAAAATTAATCCGGATACAGAAGATAAAATTGTACGTTTTAGAGGAAAATTAAATTAAAAGAGATTGAAGAAAATTTGATAAAATGAAAATTGGTTCACCAACCTATCAAATCAAAGGTCAAAACTGGCAGTGTCAATAAGTTATACATCACACTCACTCTGGGTGGGTCACCAACGCTCACATATTCCCAGTCTACATCTGCCTTATCACATAACAAAGACAACTTATCTACTTTATAAAATGTTAATTGAAAGCTGAGATATCAATAATTTTTACTAGTATCATATATGGTTTGAATTAGCAGTCCCAAGTAACCAATAAAAAGTTAATTAACCACAAGTGTGTTTATATATTGTTTTTGTGTTTTATGATAAATTGTAACATTTAAAAATAAATAAATAATTTGTACTCCATCAGAAATAGAAATAAAATCATCATGATTTTCACCTCATCGTTTAATCTCCACCTTTAATAAAGCAAGAGTAGGCATTCTGACTTTTTTAATTGAAGAAATCATTTAAATGGTATAAAATTGATATTCCTTTTGTAGGTTTAAATTTTTTTGAAGCTTGATTTGAATGCAAGGTGAAATTAGAAGAAAAATAATTCCAATTTGAATTTCTTTGGGACAGTGAATTTGAAGATTGTCGAAATAACTTTATCCAAATGGGAGATGTAGACCTCCTTAATTTCAAACTTTTGATGATTCTTACAAGTAATAATATCCCTTAATTTGGATACAAATAAACACATCCTTTTCATATCCAACTCATATTTGTTGCTTTTTATGTGCCATAAGAATCAAAGTAGGATTAGGTATGAGTCTATGACACGTCTTTGTCCAAACCAATTTTATGGAAAATTGTGCAGATGAAATAGGGGTGCGGTTCGAAAGAGCATTAAGTATTGTCATTAAAGAAATTTATTGAACTTAATTAATTAAAAAAAAAACAAATTCCAATATAACAAATATAGATAATTGAATATCCGTTGATATTTTAAAAGAATATACCATTTTTCTTCTTTTTGCAAAGGAAAGAGTTTGGGCAAAGTTGATAGTTTTACGTTAAATGGAAATTCAAGTGAGATTTATTAGATCAAGATAGATTGAAATTTTTCTTGAGGTGTAGAATATCTTTTGATTTCTAATTAATTTCCTTTAATATTGTTTCAACTCTACTTTACCATGTAAAGTATGCTTTGACATGTCATATTCATATATATATATATATATATATATATATAAGAATTAAATAAGAGAAGATTCACGAGCCAATCAAATAAAATAAGCTTTTTTATTAGATCACAGCACAAAACACACGTATCAGGAAAGAACCAATTGGCTTTCACTTTCACCATATTGATCACCCCACACACAGACGCACAAAAAAACTACAACCAAACACTCCCTTAAAATAAAACACACAATAAATGGAAAGGACAAAGAAACAAGAGATATTCAGCCCATATTTAAATCACTACCCTTTATTCTGTACTACGATGTCACACTACGTCCGGCCGCACCTGATCACACAGATTACTTATATTGCCAGAACAACACCCGGCACGGATTTTCCGGCCCGACCCGGAAGCCTGCTCACCCAAACGGACGGGCAGTGAAGAGAGTTGATCGATGATGATGGATAATCCGACGGTGATGATTGGTTTGTGTTCCGGAAGCGGGTCACAGTGAGGGACGTGTTGAAGTACTCTCTGACCTGGGTAATTATCCCATCAGCGACAGTCCAGGCGTGGACCCAAGAGATTGAACGGCTGTGATCGCAGCCCTCGACGAGGACGGTTGATCCGAAATCGGCGACGGAGAGGGGCTCGAATTCGAAGGATTTTTCCGGCGAGGTAGTGCCGGTGAGCAGTCGCATCATATACTGGTGGGACGGTGGACCATGGAACCACCACTCGAGATCGGCGGCGAGGAGCTTGTGGACGGTTTCGACGTCTCGAGCGCTTAAGGCTTCATACAGGGCGAGCACCACCCTTCGATTGTTGGATTCCTCCAGAATTTCCTCTGAATTTGCCAGTTCTTGCACAATAAACACGCCTAAGCTTAGAGAGAGAGAGAGAGAGAGAGAGAGAGAGTAGATAGAGAGAGAAGAGGGTAAGGAATCCAAGAACGTAGGAAGATATCTTATATAGAGAGATAAGGGGCAGAAGGGTCTTTTTGTATGCTTCATTTTCCCACAACACTTTACTTTTGCCCTCAGAGTTCCATGTAATGTCAACTTTACCTTTCTAGTTTTATTTTCTAAATAAGTAAATAACACTTTTATAAATTCTTAATAATTTTTTAGTAGCACTTTTATTGTTATTATTGATGTTTTAGAAGTCGGAGAGACTTAAATTTGTAAACCGTATTCATAAACTAATTAAATCACAATCACATTGGAGGACGTGCACTCGTAATTATGATTTTGTTAATTTAGGTCACAATTAGTCTCACAATATGCTTTCCTTTCAAACATTATGATTGACTAAAAAGCATTTTAGTTCATGACTAAATTAAATGGCAAAAGACATCAAATCTGGGGGGTAAAAAAGGTAAAACTTGTTAATTAGTATATAAATATTCCAATTACGACCACGTACACGTTATAAGTGGTCAAACTTTGCGTGTGTTTAAAGATTAGTATCACCGAAAACCTTTGCGTGTGTAAAGATTAGTATGACCGAAAAAGTCAGAGAAGCATGGAAAAATTAACCACCCAATTAATAATGGTATTATATGTATATTAAGTAGCTTCTGAATTCGTTAAGTCATAGCTTGCGTAGGGGTGTATTTTATGCCACGGTAATAACGTGACAATCTATATAATAGAGGGTTATATTATCACTTTTGTCTGCGTGTGGTTGTGCATTTGTTGTATCAGCTTGTGAATTGCATTATGATATCAAACCAATTTTATTAATTAAGATCTTAATTAAACGATGAACAATAATTACAAGAGAGAGGTGTATAGTTACAAGACTTGGCGAGTTTGTTGTAGGCATTGGCATCGAACAACACGGCAACGTCTTGTCACACTGAACTGCTTCTCTGGTTTTGAATTCAAATACGAAAATTGAGTTACAAAACCGTGGCCAAATTAAATTCTTATTTAGGGGTGGAATGGATTATGGATCTAAAACCAACCAGCCAAATGAATGTTAAATAAATAATCCATACTATAAAATGTTGAAGAGGATTTTGATTCAATTAATTGTAGTTTTCAATACCACTCGTATTATAGTAGCATAAATATATATATGTGTGCACGCGCAATTTCACCTTATAATAACAACAAAATGTTCCGACCTATTTCATTCATTTTTTTCGCAATGTCCCTCTCAGAAGTCCAATGTTTAGACATTTGTGACTCGCATTTTTAGGTTGAAAATGATTGAAAATGTTTTAACAAAAACTGCAATTTCTCATGTCACGATGGTTTTTGTCGGGTCCCGTTAACGGGATAAATTTGAATCGAATATAATAATATAATTAAAAATTGAAAGCGCAATAGTGATAAACTCACTCCTATTATATATATATATATATATATATATATATATATATATACTTTTAAAAAAATTATATATAATATATAATATTTTTAAAGCCATTGTTACTTTGCTAAGTCAGTTAATATATTAATATTTAATATTTTATAATTTAAAAGTTGTACCAGCTTATTTACCCGTCTAATTTGAACATATTGGACTACATTTTTTTTTTTTTTAACAAAATAATAAAAGTGGCATAACCCGTTCGTCCTCTCATGACAATTAAACGAAGTACACGAAATAGAATATGTACCTTATATGTCAAAGTAGGGACGTAAATAGTATACTAATTATAAACCCAATCCAAAGTAGAGACGGGATTGATATGACGAAATTTTTAAAGAGACATAGTAGGGTTTACCCGAATCCACCCCAACTCTGTTCCATTATCATTTTTAATCGCTAACACCAAACGGAACATAACATAACATGTTATATGATAGAAAAAGATATCTTAACAAATGCGACCAATCCTTTTAAGCAAAAATCGACATACATGACATTGTTATATATCATTAGAGCTCACCGCTGATGATATAAGATGACAGACAGCCATAGAGTTTAAATTTCTTTGTACAACAAATAATGCTAGAGATGGTTAGCGACTTATTGTCTAAGAAGCACAAACACAGAACACACAAACTATAAGACACATGTATAATCATACTCAAAGCTTCATTTCATTTTATTTTATTTTTGAACAGGTGATGGGGCCCCAGTAAGATTTCATCATATCAAGTCTTGCACTTTATACTGTTGTTGGGACCCACACTAGCCGAAGGTACCACACTAAGTTCGGAGCCCAATCTTTTGTATTGAAGTTGTATACGGAGTACTTCTTAATTCCTCTACTGCACCCACGTGTATCAATTCAAATTGGCAAATTTTAATTCCCATAAAATGCAAGCAACTACACACGATTACTAAAAGAAAATCCCAAATCAATATAAAAAAAAATAAAAAAACAATAAGTAGACTTAATGAGGAGGATCTTACTAATTACATCTCTCAGTTTTTTAGTTTATTTATTTTAAATTTTATCTTTTATTTTGTTTTTGTTTTTATTTTTTTCTTGTTTCAAAACTAAGGAGCGGAGTGAGAATAATACTCCCTTTCCCATTTCAACGTGGTTTTTAACTATTTACTGTAAGTAATTTCTCACAATCGAGATGAATTTCAGATGAAGAAAAAGAAACATAATAAGGTACAGGATTAAGATATCTTAATTTCAAATTGTTAGTGATTATTTGGATAAATAAAATTAGTCTCAGCTCAAAATAAATTAGAGAGCACCTGAGCAGACTTGGACTTACAAAGGCTCCAAATAGGAGCCCAAAGTATGCAACAAAAGAGCCCAGGCCCAAGATAACAAAGCCCAAACCAACACACAGCCTCCTCCATCATAAAAGAAATTTAAAAAAAAAACCTCCGGTAACGCATCAAATGCAGAGCATCCTCTGCGAGTCAATTCAGTCCGGTGGGCGAAGAACAGACCAGGGAAGGTCCCACTCTCTATTGGCTAGTGAGTCAAGTGAGTCAATTCAGTCGTGAGGATGTGAAACCACAAAGTGTTTGTAAAAATGCCCAAATGGGTTCAATATATGAACATTTGGAAGAACCCACAAAGTGATTGTAAAATTGCCCAAATGGGGTTTTCAGTTCTGTTTTGGTAGAGATTTGTATCAAGGAGCTAGTGGGTAAGTTGTGGTCCTCCGTTAACTCCTCAAACACAAACAGTAAATCAATAAGAGGAATGTAAATCAATGCCAATATCTTGACAAACAGAGACAAATGTATTTCACTTTTATAATGAATGTTCAAAAAAAATGTCATACTATGTACCTACCGTCTCTCCATCTAAACTGCTAAGTTCTAAGCCTTCTCTAAGTCTTTTGTACCCCGCCACAAAAAATGAACTTTGACACTGTAAGTATCATGTAAGAGACTATTGTAAGTACTACAGCAGAAAACAAACGCTGATCCTCATGTTCTGCACTGAAAACGTCATCTTCCAGCCGGCGTCGGAGAGGTGGAGCCACACAAGGTCCGATGCCAGTAGGACCATTTGGTCAAAGATCAGGGAGAGCTGTTCCGGAATTGGCATCGGGTGAGTTAGAACACTCCCTTGGAAGACAGCTTCATCCTCGTGTTTGTCTTCATCCTCGTGTTTTTCAAAGGCCCAGAACTCAGACCATATGTCAAATTGTTCCTGAAATCAAAATTTTAAAAATAAATACATACAAGAACTTAAACCATCAAGAAACATCTACATCTACATATACATATAAGAACTTGAACAAACAAGAATCAAATTACATATACATATACATATTCATATACGTATAAGAACTCAAACATTCAAGAAAAATATACATATACATATAAGAACTTAAACAATAAAGAAACAAATTACTAACACAGAATCGAGATACAGCTACTTGCCTCAGTCAAATCAACAAAAATGACCAGGCGCCGTATGTATAGTAAGTTCACAATCCTTTACCAAAATCATCACTGCAAGTTTATGTAACTAATTATTAGAACAGAGAGAGAAAAACAAAAAAAGAAAAAGAAAAAGAAAGAAAGAACAAGAAAACCCTAGTACCAGGAGATGACGGTGGAGATGGAATGGCCACCACGACGCTGTAATCTTCAACTTCGTCAAGCTTTTCGAGAGGGGCGTCGAGATTCTTGAGACGGATTTGAACACCTTTAAAATAAGACAATGAAACACCAAGAAACATACATTTAATGCGATTGATTGAAAACGCAAAATCAAGAACCATCACTGAACAAGAACAGGACGGAACGATGAAGAGGATGAAACCAGTTATACAAAATTAATGCGTATGATTCTCAAGACGGCTTTGAACACCTTTAAAATCAGACGATGAAACATCAAGAAACATACATTTAATGCGGATTATTGACAATATACGCAAAATCAACAAAATCTATAAGTCTAACCTTCGGCATTTGTCACTTCAACCGAGTCCTCGTCAATTCGAACCCGGAAAGTCCCTTCTCCGGCCAAAGAAGCCATGAAAGCTCCAAGATTGACATTCACTGCGATAATTCTTGAAGTTGTGAATGAATCGAACGTCGACGCATCAAAAGCAGCAAGACCCCCCATTACAACTAGCCCATTCGCTTCAACCCTTGTGTGCATGTATACCCTTCTAGTGCAACATTCAATCCAACCCACTGCGCACACACTGCTGAGCAAATTTGCGATCCTATAGAAGGAATTCGAATGGCTAAATGAAAATTCCATTTCAAAATCAAATTCTGTTACGCAGGCACATGGACTGAGGTTGGTGCCTTATATAGCCGACTTGGGCTCGGCTCGGCTCGGGATAAGTATTAAACGTGTATACTTAAAATATATATGTAACAAGAGTTTAAAATATTAATATATGAAGCATATATTTTAATGTTAGTTGATTATTTATTAGTAAAAGAAAAGAAAGAAAATAATAATAATAATTATGTTTGTGGAAGAAAAGAAAAAAAAAATTATTGTAATGTAATGAATTAGAATCATTTCCTGCCAAACATATTTATTTTTTAATTTTTTGTTTCCTTCGATTATTAATATTATTTTCTTTTCCTTTCATTTTCATTACCCTAAGTTTGG